GAGAGAGAGAAAGAGAGAGAGAGAAAGAGAGAGAGAGAAAGATAAAAAAATAAAATTTCATAATTTATTTACCGGGTATGAACTGTAACCCCACTGGATTAAAATGCATGTTTAATGTTTGTGGTATTAATAAAAATATGTAAGACTTTAAATCCTAATTTGAATACTGAAGAAAGAATGGTGAAAGGCAAAGGAATTAAAGAAATTTCAGGTCAGTAAGGGTTACAGAGGAATGTTTATATCTTGTGACTTTCAAATATCTCAAGTTTATCACATCTTTAAGCATCTTACATTAAGCAAGTTTGGCCACCCCTGGTTTATTTCAACAGTCAAATCATCGACCAAGAGGAAAAAAAAAAGAAAAAGCTGTCAGTATAGCAAAGTTAAAAAACTATGCCAAGCAGTTGTTGTCTAGCTCAAGAAGGGAAAGAATTAACAAGATATTTACCGTAGAGAAAGTTTGGAAGCCAAATATGAAAATATCTGGCTCGCAACCTGTCAACAATGAGTAGTAATAAAGTGTAGGATTAATAATAATAATAATATACCATGTCATGAATCTGTGTCAAATGATAACAAAAGGCATTAATTAAATATTTGTATGAATCAGTCAATAAAAGATTTCAGACTGTTATGATGTGTTAATAGGGGAAAGTCAACAGTCTTCTTCCAAATAGTCATTTATAGTCAACAAGGCAAGGGTCAGTAGAGAACAATGGATAAGACTCAAAATTAAAAAGTCAAAAAAAAAAAAAAAAATTCATCTCATCCAAACAGTAAAAAAAAAAATATATATAAAAAAAAAAAATCAATAATGCAATAGAATATGAACAAATGGTCAGTATGAATACTTAATGAAAGATCAGCAATATGTTGTATCATATTGAGGCTAAACTGTAGTAGTAGTAAACAAATATTGCATACTGTATATTTCCATGTATAAGGTGACCTATAAATAAGATGAGACCCAAAATCTAGGTAAATTTTTGTGATTTTATCTGATATACATAGTATAAAACAACCAACTGGGACCCATATGACGAAACTTTAAATGGTGAAGTTGAAACTTTAAATGGCGATGTATATGATGAGCTCTTTGCATCAGATGAGTTATGATCATAGTAATTTTGAAAAGTTTTAATTATCTGTGTGGGTGTCTTATGTTTTTTATTCTGTAATGAGAAATAAAGATTTTCTGGCATCTTAAATTGTTGCTTAACACCGCAGAAAAAAAAAAATGTATAATGTAAGTTATTAAAAAATAAAGTTTGTATGTTATACTAAATGTAGTTCTTTAACATTACAATAATGAATTTTAATTAGAAATATAGATTGTATATTATCCTAAATGTTATTATTGAGAAATAATGATTGGTGTGAACACACCCATAGCTCTACAAATCATGAACAAAAGATTTGTTTACATTACTTCTTATGCTTGTTGCTCAGTGGAACTTTTACAAATTGTTATGTAATTGTTTCTTGCATATTTCATTTTAATGTGAAATCAAGAAGTAAAAGTAGCATTATCATATTTATAACTTTAGTACAGCATTATAATGTTAATTATTTCAACTAGAAATATTTACATTAGTAGTTATAATGCAGTTGTTAGCTTACTGCAATCCATGTTGCAAGCATACTAGCCAACTTATGAGTGCATCATCATAGGATTTAAGGTTAGCTTTTTGTAACTGTTGTATTAGATGATCCCCTATTTGGGGGGGGGGATTTTGAGGATTTAAAGATCGCCTTATATGCAGAAATATACAATAATTTGGTTAACAGGTCAACATTATAGAAAACAGTCAGCACAATACTGAATATTATATTATAGAGCCACGTCAAGTAAACAGTGTGGCTTGTTTTAAATTAATATTCAGTGGATTTTTTTTATATATAAAACTATTGTTTCAGGCGACAAATGCTAAATGTTAATTCACTGGGTTTTAATATTAAAGCTCAAAATAACATAATCGTGCTCAGTAGAAATATCAATATTGGGTATTTTGTTTAGTATCAGTAAAGCATTAAAATTTTATGCAAGCAGTCAGTGACAGACAATGAAGTGCACGGGTTAGTGATGGTTAACAAAAAGAAATCTATTATACCAAGTAGCCAGTAAAAAGTGCACCGTGTCAGTAGTCAGTGAAAGGTTCAGCAAGGCAATCGACAATGTGGTCAGTAAAAGAACAGCAAATAATTGTACCGAGTGGTCAGTAAAATGCAACAGTGTCAAATGCTCAATGAGTGCATGTGTCAGTTAGTGAACATTGCAGTTTAAGAACAAGGCAGTGCACTAGTCAAGAAAGGGTCAACAAACACACATTGGTCAATTGTAGATGATAAATTTATTTGTCCTGCTGACAAAATGAGGCATTCTTTTATTCATGCCTGAGTTATATATATATATATATATATACATACATACACACAATCAAATAGAGCACTGACAGTAGCTCTGATGTCATTGAGCAATAATTATTTAAGTGACAGACAACAAAATACAAAATTGAGTATCTGACGAGGAGGAGACGTAAGCCCTCAACACAGAAGACCTGCTCCCTTTCATTTTAATATCTGGTGAAACCACCAACCTCACAGCAAAACGTTGTTGGGAGTGCCGGTTACATGACTAGCAATGTGATGGTCAAACCAGATATGTGTGACTGCAGCAGCAACTATAGTGTTGTCATCATCGTCAGATTGTGCTGTCAGGGTCAGTCCTCATTCAAAACAACATTTATAATACCAGGAACAATAATGATTATCAAAATCACAATAATAATGGCAATAATCAAAGGTTTTAAATAAAGTAGGCAAAACAAACTGATATTTAAGGTAGAGGAGATAGAAACACAGGAATTCCTAATTATAGCATAAGCAAGACAATATCAATTTTATTATTATCAGATTTGAACTAATTAAAAAAAAAAAAAAAAGTAAAAAAGGGACAAAGGATTAATCGCAAACATTTTGGGGTTTTTGTCTTTAAAGCAAATAAAACCTTAACTAAATACACACATGTACATAATGTCACAATCAGATTCAGACGATGTATTCATCTCACTCAATAGCAGAAGAAAACGTTAGGAATCATTGTTTTTTTTTGTTTTTTTTCTTCAATGATTGATTGTTTCGGTATTCAACTAAACATTTGCTTGGTTTAGGTGTGTATCTTGTGTGCGTGTTTCCGGCATTGTCATTCATCTTAACAACAGTGACATACCTGCAGAAGAAAACTGTTCTGGCAGCCATCTTAGACAAGTACCCTCACGGAAGCATATGCAAAGGGATCAAACACTGCCATAATCAACAGAGTAGATAAAGACCGTCAAAGTCAAGTACTGTCAAAATTATTGACAAGCTGGTCTAATAATAGTCAGAGGCAATTTGAAAGTTGTCCAATACCATCCCAGTCTAAGACTGTTATAATTACTAAGGACTATTCAAATTCAAATTAAATACCATTAAAATTATTAACCAAATGATCAGATTAACAAATACAATCACAATATCCAACTATGATCAATTAATAAATAGCAGTGTTGCCAAATACTTTTAAAATGAAGTAGAATCTTCAAATACTATCAAAATCAATTTCAAAATTACCGAATACAGTAAACAAATGATTCCATCATATGCATATTCTAATACCATCAAAATTATATAAAGATTTGTTATATAGCATCAAAGTCAATAATGGAGTTATTGAATAGTCATAGTCAATGGTAGAATGGCTAAATAGAGTTATAGTCAACTACATAGTAGCCAAATAAACTTATAGTTCAATATCATCACCATTAATTGCAGGGATATCAAAGAGCAAAGAATTGTCAAATACCATCACAATCAATTATTAGAGAAGACTCTTATGGTTTTTAGTAACTTTTATAAAAAAAGGCAAAAAAAAGCTGTAGGTTTTTCTTAAAAATATATAAAACTTTCATTTTCAGATTATTTTGCTATATGAAAATGTTTTTTCAAACTTATTAACAAGAATTCATACTGATCTGAAACATTTGTCTGCTTTTCTTTTTTAATAAGATTTTTAAAAAAAATTTATATATTATATATATATATATATATATATATATATATATATATATATATATATATACACACACACACACACAGAGGATGCAGCAGAAATACCTCCCACATAATGGTAAGACATCAGATCGATGAGGACACCACTGCCATTAATATCTTACCAGTATGTGGGAAGTATTTCTGGGAGGTATATTTGCTGCACTCTGTGTGTTTGTGGGTGTGTGCAAATGTAATAATGTTGCTGTTCTGGGAATAATACATTAAATATATATTATTAATTTCAAATCATATTTGCCTACCCCTCCCAACTTTCAGATCCTATTTTCACTGCCACTATGACAGAAATTGATGATTGTTTCTTTGCTCCAATCATACACACAAAAGATAGATACAAACACTCATAACCAAGTTCCCCTCCCATCCACTGTATACATGTTTCTTGTCAATTTAATAATAATAATAATAACAACAATAATAATAATAATACAAAATAGGGTAGAACTTTTGCTTCTTTACATGAAATAATGAGTTATTATTAACAGCTTTAATTTAAGGTTAGTTTTAATGGGTAATTTTTATAGATTTTTATTGTCATTTTTAGATGTAACTAACAGAAAAGGGTAGGGGTTACGAGAATAAATAAGGGTTATTTTTTGGTTTTGCTTTAATCAATAAAAAAGGGATAATTTAGAAAAGAAAAAAGGTAATTTAGAAAAAAGAAAAAGGGATAATTTTTAAAAAATTGGGGGGGGATAAAAAAAAAAAAAACCAAAAAAAACTGTAAAACCCTAAAAGAGAAATGTTGTCCGTGCCCAGAAAGAGATGGTGTAAATCAGTAAGCCCAGCATGTTAAATCTAACATTGCTCAGACCCTGGGAGCTGTTTTTTTTTTTATGGCTGTTCATGGTATAGTATCCATTTTCAAACTGGTACAGGCATCCATTGATTCAATCCTGACAAAAAGAGAAAAAAAAATATATTAGAATCAGATATTTCTGGAGTGAACAAGTTTTAAATTTGAGACGGAAGAAAAACATTAGATTTTATTGGTTATCCAAACAGTAATTCAATTCACAAAGCAGAAGCAGAGAAACACAAAGATAGCTGGATAAACAAATTTAATCAACACAAGCAAGCGACATGAACAAAGAGGATGCGGCAGAAATACATTGGTGGAACATGTAAGTGGACAAGTTCAACACAACCAAATTAAATATCTTCTGACAGGTCAACTGGATACACTTAATTCAAACTAAGCATTTGATATATATCGGACAAAAGGCACACCAGGAATTAATTTTGAGTGATTATAAGAATTATAATCAAGCCATCATGAAAATCTTATTTCAAACTGATCAGATGATACATATCATTTATAGAAATCTTTCAAAAGAAAAAAAAATTTACAACTGGATTCTCAAGTAGTTATGCAGGTAAGTGAAATGATTTTTTTTCCCTCTCAATCTAGACATAGGTGATGATGGCTGTTATACTTGGCTTCAAATTAAATCTCTTTCTGATTCACTCCACCTCAAACTGTCAGCCAGATGTGAATGCTACAAAAGCAAAACTAAAGATAAGAGTCACTCTCTCTCTCTCTGCAGAGGCTCCAGGCACCACATCCGACTAAAAAAAAAAAAAAAAAAAAAAAAAAAAAAATAAAGGAGCCAATCATGAATGTTGCCACTAAAGTAAAAGTATGGTGTGTCATGATCCACCTGTCTCCTTTTAAAGAAGCCGCTCATGATACTGAATGCAGTTGGCAGTCATAAGCAAGTGGGTAGGATGTCACAGTCACCACCAGTGATCTTGACAATCAATCTGAGACAAGCATCAACTCCAGGCCCTACAAACCATCAACATAAACATTCCACCTTGATCCTCTATATCAACGATACATTTTATTTTCACTTCACCAGGAGTACTTGTTGTTTCGTTTGGTCTTTTGTGCTCCCATACATGTTTATAAGACTGATTATAAGGAAAAATAAGACTTTCTCTATCCACTACCAACTCTCCCCATCTTCTAGGTTGCTTTCCTTACACACAAAGAGACATTCCACCTTGATCCTCTATATCAGCAATACAAAGAATTTTATCTTAACAATTCTTTTTTCTTTTTTTCAATGGCAATACTCTGTCATTTCATTTGTTCTCTCATGCAACCATATGTGCATTTATAAACATGACTCTACAGATTTATTTTCTTTATGATCTGTGATTTATCACACATTTTTCGCATAATGCAGTGGTTTTCTGCTGCATCCTCCACATTTTGGAATTCAGTTTTCCTTCTCTTAGATTGGTTACCACCCAGTTTATCCTATTTAACTAATAGCTAGAAGGGAGAGAGAGAGAAGACAAATTTATACCTTTCTAAAGGGCAGTAGTATGAAAATAAATGCAACAGACTAGCCCAGAATTTGAACCCTGCCTGCTGATTCCACTTTCCATGTCAATATCCATTATGCTACCCTCACATGATTTAGAAAAAGAAATTTCAATTAGATTTTGATTAATTAATTTTAAATTAAAATTGAAATTTTCTTCTGACACCATATTAACATTTATGAATTGATTTTATCCCAAAATATTCCACAATGATCGTCTGTATTTCGTTCTAGATTATTTTATAGCAATTCTAACTAAAAGTGACAACAGAGTAACACAGATTGTTTCTCAAAGATACTTGTCCTGCACCAACAACCTAACCTATTCCTTTAGAAAACACTTTAATTCCCTGTCAAACAAAAATAAAATAAATTGAACATATTCCAATATACCTAACATTTGTAGAGATGGTCTTTACCCATGTTCCCTATTAATTCTTTCATGGCTGGCACAGGACCAAAAAAAAACCCTGCAAACAACTGAAGAAATGAAGTGTGCAGAAAATATTTTTCTGACTTTTGAAATAAATTTTTTTTTTTTTGTTTTTACCTAAAATTAATGAAACAAAAATCAGTTACTTAGAACAATAATGTCTAATAAAAGAAATGACGGATTTGGCATATTGATTTTTGTTTATTATTCACCTATTATTATTTAAATTTATATTTTCTGCCTTTTGGTCTTTGTTTTTTTTTTACATACATTATAAATATATGATGTGAAAATAAATGATTATTTAATCTATTTACATATTATCCTTTTTCATAAAGATTCTCATACAAAAAAATACTTGTGCAAAAAGAATTTTATTTGTTCCATATTTAGAAAAAACCTAAAATAGTACAAAAACAAAACAAAATAGAACCCACTGGACTGCGTTCTCTAGCCTAGTCTATTTGGAAGGACGACACTGAATATAAAATTACAGAGAAAACAACAGGAAATCATCCCACTGTCTTTCTCAAGTGCCAATGATATTATTTTGAAAAAGAAAAACAAGTAAATTTTATGTATCAAATATATTAAGAGGTAAGAAGCTGGCTACTCTTAAGTTATAAAATGAACATTCAACAATTACAATGATACTGAGTTTTCCCTGAATATTCAATGTGGGTAGATATTTAAAAAAAATATTAAAGAAATAATTGTGATATACAGAAAAAAAATATTGAAATAACAAAGAATTAAAAACATGAAACGAACCAGAAAATCTGAATTGATTGATTTGGTACAGTTTATGTTCGGTAATTTCTTCTGTGTAGTCCATCTGTGACCATCCGTCGGTTGACATTTCTGTTGACAATGGGGTTACACCAAGGCCTGTCCAAACCTGTCTTCATTGTACGCTGTTGCCACTCTTTATAAAAGGAAGGCGCCTCACCTGAAAATATGATGAAAGGACAAATTGATAATGTCTTAAGGCCATGTTTAATAGAAGACAACAATAGGTAAAGAAAGGAACAAGGCGGTGGAAGCAAAGAGAGAGAGAGATAGAGAGCAGGCAAGGTGAGAGAGAGAGAGAGCAGGCAAGGTGAGAGAGAGAAAGAGAGAGAGAGCAGGCAAGGTAAGAGAGGGAGCCAGCAGGCAAGGTGAGAAAGAGAACAATCAAGAGAGCAAGGTAGGAGAGAGAGAGAGCATGTGAGGGAGAGGGATGGGGGAGAGCGTGTGAGAATGGGAGTGACGGAGGGAGAGCGTGTGAGAATGGGAGTGACGGAGGGAGAGCGTGTGAGAATGGGAGTGACGGAGGGAGAGCGTGTGAGAATGGGAGTGACGGAGGGAGAGCATGTGAGAATGGGAGTGACTGAGGGAGAGCATGTGAGAATGGGAGTGACGGAGGGAGAGTGTGAGGGCAACAGAGAGATAGAGAAGAAGAATTTCTAATAAAACTGGAAAGTATCACTGCAGGAATTATATTGGAATGTATTAGCATTTATTCTGAAAAAAGTGTTTATTTCGGCTAGATTTTATGAGTACTTGCTCAACAACATCCCACTGTCTCTGAATGTACCAGATACTATCATATAATTTTACATTTCTCTCTCAATTCTCAATGCAATAATTGTTGATCATCTATCAACCCAGCTTCTTCTCAATTTATCCTTTGTAATAAATTTTACTTTATTAGGCTTACTGTAGACCTCCAAACTGATAATAATTTTTGATTCAATTCAAATGTTTTGTTTTAATTGTCGGGTTTACCAAATATTCCAGTTATTCTTTCTGACAAATAAAGTAAATGAACATACAAGAGAATTCCAAATTTCCAATTTAAAATTTAGTTTGTGTTCACATTAATAATAAAACTAAAATATTTGTTTGTAAAAGCAAATTCTATGAGCTATGAGAATCTCTGCCATTATTTATAAGTTGCATATCTAAGTTTTTCATTTTAAGCTGAAAAACAACAGAAAAATACAACAAAGGTTTATTGCTTTGAGTAGAATCTTTCTTATTTTTTCCTCCCTAAAATATATACAGATGGTAATGACTGTAACTGACCTTGTGCTAGGAATGAGATTAGATCACCATTCTGAAGCCATCTGCCACATTAATCTCAAAGCACATGTGCTCAGTTCAGAACAAAAAGTATTCCAAAGGACACCAATTTTTATCCGATTTGGAAAAAAAAAAAAAAAAAAATCAAAAGATTTTCTTTTACTTACATTATTTTTGCATTTTTAATCATTTTCTTTTCTTGTACTCCGGTACAAAACTTAGCTTTGCTGGCATTTAAGAATGAAATTTCCACTTTGCCATAGTTTTTTTTCCCTAAAATATATATACTTATTAAACATAGATCTAAAGTTACTTACTTTCATCCATGTTGACATATTGAGAATTTCTCTCTTCAAAACCTGTTTTTGCATTTCTGCATCTTTCTTCCACATGTGATCTATCATTGATGTGCCGACCCACTGCCATCTTGTCTATGCCATCATCAGAGTCACGAACAGCCTTCATGGTCTGTTTTAACTGCCAACCAAAAAGAAAAGAAAACACTAGTTTTAAATAAGTACATCAATAAGTTTATAGCTTAATGATTCAAAAAGCATTTATCTTGTACAACTAATATATATTTTGCAATAGTCTCCTAACTTACAATTAACCCAATGGCTCGCTATTAATGACATAAATAAGATATTATACATTGAAAATTTCAGATCAGATTTCAGCTATTAAACATGTTAGACTTCAAACTTAATGATATATTCCATGTGTGTGTGTGAATGGTATATATCAAGAACAATATTGGGAAAAAATCTATAACAAAATGGAAAAAAGTTTTCTTGTGATGCATTTTGTCCTTTAGGACTTCAACTAAATTTGTTATGTTGGTGCAACTACATGTGTGTACAAATGAAGGATGCTGGGAATTTAATTTTTTTTTTTTTTATCTAGCTGATGTCATTTAGATTCTTTTTCTTTTTGTTTCCATAACTTTTGATAATGGAAGTTCTGCCAGGAATGGTGAAATATTGTAAGACACAGGGTGCAAATTTATTGTACATGACCTTGGAATTAAGACACTCTCTAAACATTTTTGTCATAGTGAATTGTTTTCTCCTTTGATTAGAGTAGCATTTTTTATGTCAAAATTGTGGCCACTCATTACAGTGGGAAACCAATGCATTTGATGCATTGTTTTGTAAAAAGTCCATTTTGTGTTCATATAATCTTTTATTTAGATTCCTTGAGATTTATCCTATGTATTTTTTTGTGTCAATTATTACAGGTAATCGAGTAAATTCCTTCTTCAGGTTTTAGCCTATTGTTTTGTTTAGTATCGACTAAGTCTTTTATTGTTTTAGATGTCGTAGTAACAAATTTTATTGAATTTAGATAGATTCTTTTCAATTGTAGATTTGATAGAATTAAATGGTAGGACAATATATTTTTTTGATTCATTGAATTTGTCAGGAGGGGCTGTTTTGAAGTGGGAGTCTCTTTTCCAGTGTATTTGTTGCTGCTATAAACCAAACTCACTTCTATTCATATCTTTCGACTGCTATCATTAAATAAATGATGTGTCATAAGTTGAGAAGCTATAATATTCAAAAGAAAATTAGAATCTATTAGTTTCAAATATATTCATTGGTTCTACAGGCAAACTAACATTTACTTGAAGCAGTTTGGCACTTGAAAGGGTTTGTATCAACCATATCAATGATCACTAGCAAGATTCATGAAAGAAGAATATGAAAAAAAAAAACAATAAGATTAACTAAGTTGCAATCAGAAAAATGTCAGAAAGAATCAAGCAAAATCTCAAGAAGGGCAGAGTTTGTATTCTTTGGACAAAGTTGCCAGCATTTCTTCTATCAGACACATGAAAGCAACAATTTTGTTTTTTTTTGTTTTATAAACTCAAACTTGCACTCTAAGTCAATAAAGGTTTTCTGCTGCATCTATGACCAACATGGAAGCCAATGAATCTAAGTGAGAAGAAAGTTATTCTACTGAGAAGAAAAAGTAGAACTATTTCTCAATGATTTCTTCAATCTCACATCACTTTCTTATTCTTTGTAAATCTCAGTTTCAAAGAGATCAATCTAAAAGCATAGAAGGCTATCATGTTTGGATCATTAACTCATCTGGAAACATACTGTCATCTTTGTTGTTCTTGATAACAGCTTCAAAATAAGCCGGTCTCATGTTTTCAAATAGGTTAATATTTTTACTCCCAATTCAATGAAGACTGTCACATTGAAAATAAGAGTTGAAACAATAATAACTCTATTTGAACTTGTGTCCTTATCTTGTTTGTTGTGGTCTTAACATTTGGGCTGTTTAAACTTACAGTCTTCCTTCCTATTAGAAAAGAAGAAAGACTAAGTTTTTAAAGCTCAATCACTATCAATGAGGCAATGGTGAAGGGACTAAAAGAATTGGTTTAATGCAGATAGTTACCTCATAGTCATTAGGTCAATCCCTGGATCAGGCAATGATGAATTAAAAACAATTAACTAACCAAAGACAATGACTTGGCATGAGCAGCAGAAAGAGAACAATCTACTCTCCTTAAATTGAATGAAGAAATCACAAGAAAGAATTTACTGATCCAAGAAAATGTCTCATGATAAATGGCTGAATGAGAACAATGCTAAGTAAAGGCCTATGAGTTTAGGACAACAAATATATCCTTGTCACTTAATTTTCTTTTTGATAAATTTTCTTTGCATATTTTATTTCTGGTTGTTTATATAGCATCCATCAATGCCAACCAACAAGTGGCTGAAGTAAGCAAGAGACAAATGCATAGCAACAGTGAGAAGAGAGAAATGGAGACAAAAGCCATTGTTTATATTGAATATAAATGCACTTATACAAATAACAGGAAAAAACCACAAAAGATGTGCTTTTCATATGTAATGTTTTTTAAATAACATTGGTAAAAAGAGTCATTTTGTGTATATTAGTGAATAATGATTATCAATAAACTCAATCTTCAAAACAGATTAGAAGAATTTCTGCCTGAATTTCTGGGATGAGGCATTACCATTATTTACAAACTGATCAAATTCCTCATCTTTGTTGTCACAATCATAATGTTTTGGATATTGCATCCTCCAACCATCTTTAGGTATTTGCTGATCTGGGTAATCTTCAAAGAATTTTGAACTGAACTCTTTATTTAATCTAACAGGACTAGCAATAAATGAACAGTACTAGAATAGAAAAAGACATCTTCAGATATAGACAGCAGAGCAAGAATAATCTACCTGTGTAGATTAAATAACTAGGCACTAGACTCCAGGAGAGCAACACATGCCACCTTCTTGGCCTCACATTTTCCACCGACATGAAATGGAACAACTATATCAAATCAATAGCTGAATCAGCTGGGTCACTGTGATGTTCCAGAAAATTTATCTTGACAAAAACCATCTTGCACATTTACAAATCTAACATTTGTCTGTGCATTGAATACTGTGTCATATCTGACCTGGTGCTCCTGCTGTGCATGTAGAGATTCTTGATAAACTCTAAAGAAGGATCTACAATGTAATCGATCATGACCAGGCATCTTGACTTCAGTCATTTTTTCACAAATATAACATTGTTTCCCTCTCCCTTTTCTACAAATATTTTCATGGTAACTGATCTGACAAGCTTTTTCCCTTGTGTCCTAAATACATAAATTTAAGTATTCTACTAGATTGGCATCTAGGTCCCACCCTTTTACTGTTGAAATAGCTAAATGCAACCACCACTTTTATTCCAAAAATTTTTTTTCTCGTAATTCCCACCCATAGAACTTGTTTCCGTTTCCTTGTTTCACTGATAACTACAATCTTCAAAAGTTTAAATGTAACATCAATTGTTGTCTTCTACCTTCTTGAACTTCATTTATCTTTTATCCTTTCCTCAATCTTCCCTATTCTCAGTCTTCTCTTTCACTCCCTATAACCGGCTGTATACTAGTAAGAAGCAAAAAGTATTGTTGTATCTAACATTTTATTGGTTGTTTATTTTGATTCCCTTTCATATTCAGCAGCAGTTTCCCATAGCATTTACATAATAGCTTTCTCACTCTTTCTCACTATAAAAATTATCATTGTTCTGTTCTTCCACTGATGGACATTTGGGGCTTAAAATGATTATGAAAATGGTGGCAGCAAAAAAAAAAAATAATCCTGTCTCACTAGTAAGAGCGTGAAAGTGCAAAGAAAATGTTTTTTATCCTTAACCATTTGAGACCAAGAGATTTTGGTGTGATGCCATATCAGTGAAATGTCTTAACAGATGTTGCAGAAGCAACCTCTGCTTTCATCACTCACCATGATCTTGAATCACTATGCAATTCATGGTCAGTGTAAAGAGATGCAAGACAAGGACAATTATTGCAAGATAACACCTGCTCCAAGACATTGCCTGCTAATGGGTGGTTAATTGAAAACATGGCAAGTGAAAACAACAGGAAGAAAGATTAACACCTGCTGCTGTGGATTCATTTATACATCTTTATAAAAAATTATATTGCCTGCTGTCAATGCATATATATATATTTTTGCAGTATAATTGCATATATTCTTGGCAGATCTTCTATCATCACAATGCGGGATACTTAATAATGAAAGTGACGGAAACAAACTAAAAGAAAAAAATCTAAATTAAATCAGCTAGATTATATACCCAAAAGACCTTAAGAACACACACACACATTATATATATACTACCAGCGTTGCCCGTGCTTGATTCAAAAATCATACGACTCATACAGCAATCGCTATCACTTGACTTAAAATATTTTTGCCTTTCCTTGCCTTTAAAGAAGTGCCTTTTGCCATGCTGATGTTGCTACATGCCTTACTTCTTGCCTATCTCACACTGCAAATTTTTTCTAAGCTCTATACTAAACATTAAATCTGTTACGAAAAAAAGAACTAAACAAAATGAACAAAACGATCAGCTTTAAAAAAGGACTCATAACTGGAAAAAAATGAATGAAAAAAGAATGTTAACAACAAATACTTTTTCACACCAACCCAGTTCTGCGGAATCAGAATCAACATTGAGTTTAAGCAAGCGAATGAGCCAGTTGGAGTAAAGTGCCATGCAGATTGAAATTTTTCCCACTTGTGACAAATGCAGCTATCGATTTTTTTTGCATGCTAGTTAACATTCGTGTCAGTCAGCTGTTGGTTCTCACGCTGGCCAATAGAATCTTCCTGCCTATTCATGGCAGCCAGCTATAGGCTCTCCCTCTGGCCAGTAGAAAATGGCTGCAAAGTACATGAAAACTGCCATAGAAGCATGAAAAAAATCGATTATTTCCACTATTGATGGGAGTTGGGAAATGCAAAGTCAGTCTTGTCCTATCCACTAACATGGAGCATATGCAAATCCATCGAAAATTGTGGCCGTGCATTCATTACACACACAAACACACATCCTGTCTTTTATATATATATATATATATATATATATATATATATATAATGTATGTAAAAATAAGGTTTTGAAGATAAAATAAAAAGGAAGCTTAAGGATTTTTAAAACTTTAAAGAAACAGGAAGGAAGAGAAAAGTGAAGACAACAAAGTAAGAGAAAAAATTAAATGGAAGGAAAAAGAATAAAAAGGGAGGAAAAAGAGAAAAAATAGAGAGAGGGGAAAAAAGAAAGGGGAGGAAATAAAATAAACAAGAGATGCATATGCCCGTCTAAACAACCTTAAACACAGTTGGAAATTTGACACCAGTTAAAGTAACCTTGACCTATATTTTAAAATATTAATATCTTGTTTAAATAAGGAAAAATTATATAAGGAAATTCAACCTTTAAAACTTAGGTTTTTACAATTGCTTTTTAAAAGATTAAATGAAGGGTAAAATTAAATTTTGACATCTAAATTAAAATATTATATAATTAAAAAATTTTTTTCATGAAATAAGGCCAAGTATTTCGTAAATTTACAAAGAAATTAATATTAAATATAAATAATAGGTAAAATTTATACACTAATAATAAATAATAATAAATAAATCAAACTTAAGTGAAATATAAATAAATGTTAATTATACATTAAAGTTAAAAAGAAAAACCTTTAAAAAGAGGGAAATATTAAATTAAAAATAACTGACATAAAAGTAATTTGATAAAAACAGCTATTAAAAAAGTGATTTAATGGTAAATATGAGAATTAAATATAAACTAAAGTAAAATATAAAATATAACAACCTATAAAAAAAATGAAATATTAAAATAAAGAATAGAATTAAATATAAAAATAATTTTAAAAAGTATATTAAAAAATTATATTAGAAAAATAAATGTATTAAAAAAGATACTTTAAGCTTCCTTTTTATTTTATCTTCAAAACCTTTTGGTGTAGATAAACCACTAAAGAACAATTTTCTTGTGGAGTGAAATGGTCATTCAAGTGGGGTATTAAATTATCTTTATATGTAATTTATTTATATTGTAAATCTGTAATAAATACATTGAACTCTCTTTGTGGATAAATTTTAATACTTTATATTATTAGGATTCACTTGGATTACTTACCCACAGTGTTTTACATGTGTGTGTGTGTGTGTGTATATATATATATATATATATATATATATATATATATATATATATATTATTGATTGATTAAGGTCAACACCCAAAAGTGACAGTCTGTTTTTATGCTTAAATGTAAGTTGCTGGATGTTGACCTCAATGTTCACTATATCTATAATGTATCTTGATTATTCAGGCTGGTAAATGTAAGTAAAACTGTTTATTTAAAAAACAGACCATTTACTTAAATAAATTGCATCTATTAAAATAACGTATAAACAGAAAATATATTAAATAAATGTTGGACTTAATCCGTTTCATGATTTGTTGTCAATGTTTGCATTAAGGTTTCATGAGCAAATATGGTCATTTGGGAAAAGAGCAAAGATTTGTTGTTTATAAACTGTAATTCAAATTTTGCTAACCAGACACTTTGTGGCTGAATTGTTAACAGCACATCAAATCAAATATATATTTTCCAAGACATTATGAATGTCAGTCCATAGTGTTTGTGCTATAAACCAATGAACACTTAGTGTTATTTTAAAAAACAGCATAGATATATGGTAGCATACAATACAACCTGTTTTGTGATGTATTTTAATTATATTGTGTGCTGGTCATGTTTAGCTTAGTCTGTACTGCAGTATCTCTGATCAAAACCAAAATGGTGGCACCAATGAGAAATTGTCATCAGCATCTTTATAGTCAGTTATTTACAGGCAACAATGGTATAACAATGCATCAGTGAAAGTGTTAAAAGCAATGAGGACAATCATGATGTCAATGTAAAGATACTTATCAGTGATATAACCTCTGAAAAATACTGACATTATGTATGAAGGTGTTTATAGTTAGGAATCTAGTGTTAAAAACTGTAAAGATGAAAACTTCTGTCTAAGGAAAACAATTCATCTTATTTACGTTGAAATAAACAACAGCTAATAACCTTCTGACCTTCAGGGTACAAATGAATTTGATTCTTTAAGAGTAGCAGTCAATCCTATTTGATAAGAGATGTGCTTAATTAATAAGAATAATTAATTACCATTAATATCAGAGTCTAGAATTGAGAACCAAAAGACCTTGAGCAGTTTTTCCTTTTGACAATCTCTTTGCACAAAAATTAACACAGAAAGTGTTTATCTGGACAAATTGTCAGCACAATCAAGATAAAAAAAAATGTTAATGACTTTCTAATCTGTATTTGATTAAAAATATTTTGCCTTCAGCTGACTGTAAATTCATTACACATACATACATATATATATATATATATATATATCTGTGTTGTTTTAATTAAGAATGAAGCACTGTGAAGATATTGCTTCTGTCAGTGTTAAGTCAGTTGAAGATCTGTAAGGAGACATTTAATAAAATTTAATTCACCTCTTTGGTTGTATGAACTGAAAAGAAGATTTTTAGAATTGAGAGCAGATACAAATATGGATTCCTATTCACCATTAAAGTTTGAATATTTCTTGATCTTGAGATTTTCTTGATATTGTATAGATACTGTGATGCTATTGAGGTATACTTCCATTTGGAAATGGAAGCCAATTCAACTTTTATATTAAATATCTAAAGAAAAATCCAAAGAGAATGAAATGTCAAGATGAAACTTATACTTACTCCCCCAGGGGCTGTGCATGTGGAGGTGCTGGCTTCATAAGTTCTGGGAGCACTGTTGCCAATCTTAGAGTAGGTTTTGAAGGTTGACTGAGAATAGTGATAACCACTGGGATCAATTTTGTTGTTATGCTGTAAAACAAAATAAGCTAATTAATAGAAGACAAATAGACGATTATCAATAAACAATAAGTGTGGAGAAACTTACTTGCATTCTTCATGTTTAGCAGCCTATTCTCTTTTTAACATAATCTGATGCAAGGAAATGTTGAATTAACCTAACTATTTGGCTCTTTTCCAAAGAACTGTTTAGACTAAAAAGCAATCCGCAACAAGCATAACATATCAAGTTCAGGCAGAGTTTGTGATTTAGCTGTGCAATGTAAATTTATATTCATTGTGTCATGATTAAATGCCTTTTAAAAAAAAAAAAAAAAATGGATTGAATAGAAGACACACACTGTGTAATTAACAGGCTATAGAGATACAATTGATCTGATTGATTCTATAAGTAATTAACTTTATTTTTATAGCAAATAGATCTGTTGGATTATAAAATTCAACACTTTCCCTTGATATCATTTTTTTCTTATTGATATTGACAATGTTTGGTCAAAAATTCATATTGGGGCTCAAAACTGAGGCTTCAAATTTTTTTCTTCTCTGAATAAGTTCAAATATTCTGGAGGGAGAGCAAAATTATTTTGGAAAATGTGTTAAATCTTTAAAAGAAGACCTCAGAAAAAAATAAACAAATCAAAAAATGTAACAGCAATGTTGACAATCTTCAAAAGGAGAAAATCTAGATTTTAAGAAAATTTCTTAATAGAAAAAATATTATTTTTTTTTTTTTTCATGCATTTTAATTTTAAACAGCATCTATTTTCTTCAAAGATACTATAACCATCAAACCCAAAGCAATAACATCTGAGAATGGATTCCACTAAATTAAGATCTTAAAAGCCAGGTTAATCTAACATAATAGGAGTAGATAGGTTCACCTATTGTCTGGTTCACACACCTCCCCAGGTCTTTAGAACAAAAGTAGAGGGTTTATCTCTTGTTTCCTGTTTAGAAATGGGTTTCTGGTTCCTTCAAAAGTCTTTTTCATTCTTGTTTACTCTTGTGTCTTAGTGGCATTATCACCTTGCTTGGGGTGAAATGATTAAAAAAAAAAAAAAAAATGTTCTATTAAATCCCAAAAGTGTTTTTATTTTCTGTTTCTCCACTAATTTAGTTATCTTTGAATCTTGATGAAAAAGGAGAGATGAATGAAGGAGGAAGTGAAGGAGGGGATGGAAGAGAGACTGATGAAAAGGAGAAAAAATGGTGGGGGTGTAGAGAGACAGAAAAGGAGAGGAGAAAGCAGGGTGGACAAAAAAATAAGAGAGGGAAATGCAGAGTAAAGAGATGGATAGAAGAGTGGAAGGAATGAGAGAAAGCAGAATGGACAAAAAGGAGGGAAATTCAGGGAGTGAGATAGAGAAAAAAAAAAAAAAAAAGAGACAGAGAAGGATAATGAGAAGAGAGAGGTTAACAAAAAGCAAGATACCTTATTATCAACTGCTCAAGTGAACAATAGCATCTGGAAGTATTTAGGAAACCACTAACCCCAACAGTTACCAGTTGACACACATAAGTAAATAGTGGCCTTTGTCCTTTGAGTAACTAACAGAGAAACAGCGAAAATAATCCAACTATTATCCAACCTACCTTCCCACTTGCTCCCACCAGCAAATACTCTTTCCTGGGAAGAAGTAGAGAGAGAGAGAGCAGTTTTCAAATTATCATTACACAAGACCGGATTAATTTGGCCTTGCATTCTTAATAATCTCCATTTTCAAGAGACAATAGACAAGGAAGATTCTCACAGCCAGCCACCCAGCCACTCTTTTCCCTAAAAAAAGGATCAGTTGGCCATGAAGTCTGACTGCAATTGCCTTGATTAGTGAGGAAAACAAAGAAAGTTCAACTTGCCTGTTTAGACTATTTTTTTTTTCTTGGAAATCAAGCAAAACAGTGTTTTCTCTTAGCTTGTAATCAGTGAGTTAAGAAATTTGTTGGTGGATCAAGAACAAAAAAAAAAGTCTTTTCTCTACAACTTCACAATTAACGGATTACTCCTAGGATCCCAATTTCCAAAGGATTTTATTCATGGTTTGTTACAACCAACTTGGTCCACCCTTATTTGTGTCTTGGTTAAAATTTGTTAAAAGGTATAAAACCTTTAATAGGACATGCACATAGTGTAGCAGTTATTGGCACAGAAAGTGGGTTTAGTGTGCCAAGTTCAAATTCCAGCCGAGTCCATTGCATTACAAACATCCTTGGAAAAGTAAGAACCCATCTTTTCTCCCCACCATGAGGTTTCAATAGCAGAATTTGAAAATGAGTCTAAAAAAAGACAACTCTGAGCTTGCAACTTCAACACAAAGACTTGCTTTAGAAACTACAGTAACAGCACCTAGTGTGGTGAGGCTATGATCCAATACTTCACAAGGCAAGGCAGTCTACAGGACTGACATACATAATACATATATATCCTGAATAGATACATATACATTGAAATGAGAACAATATCAGCAGAGAGTAAAATTATAGTGAGAAGGGTGAAATCTAGGATTTATATAACCCTAAATAATTTTTTACTTATTGTTCTATAACCTAAAGTAAGAATTTCAAACAAGAGAAAACATACCTCTTAAGTCTGCTCAATACTTGGAAAATCTGATAAGCTTACAGTATAAATAATAATAACCAACAGCACTCAAAGCAGTTTCAGGTTTATAATAAAAGAAAAAAAAAAATATGAATCCCAATATATATGTTTAGTCCCTGACAAGGTTGAAAATAAGTGTAACAGCTTTTTATTGTTACTATTACTTACCTGGACAGGAAGGTTACTACAAGAGATTTTTTTTTTAAACTAAAGTTTACCTAATACAAGTCTTGAAAGATTTGACCAAAGTGCACACATATCCATGCTTTTCTCCTGTCAACTATTGTAGCATTTTTTTATATTAATGTTCACCCAATATAAGGCCCAAGTGTCACTCAAGTTAGATTATTACTGTGTCATGTTTTATGAGCATAAGAAAAAGCAAAAAGTGCATTTAATAACATTATGTCAGAAAGATGATGGTTAACCCTAAATTTGAAGAAGTCAAAATTGTAATGATTGGGAAAACATTCTGCTGAGAGCCTGTTCCACAAAGCAGCAGTTCTTGGAAAGAAGCTGTCCGAGTGGAACTTACTATAGGAATATGAAGAGAATGAGGATGCAGGTGGCATGTCAGGGCCAAGTTGCAAAGGCTCAGGGTTGATGGAACCAAGGAATGTAGCTTGTAAGAACACATGGCATGGAAATGGTGACAGAGTAGTAAGAGACTTGTGACATTTCATCTGTAGGGGGGAAAAGAGAGTTAGAAGGTAGAAAATAATTCATCACCCACAAGGCCATATAGATGCTTTTGAACTGTATCAAAATGGCCAAGTGAGGCCTGGGCAGCTTCAGTCCAGATATGGCAGCATTACTCTATTTTTGATCTAATATTTGGCTTTTGTAAAAAGAGTATACCAGAGAGAGTCAGACACTTACTCGAGTGGTACAGTGAACTGACCAGGTCAAGAATGACATGGTCATGTGATTTGACAACAGGAAAAAGCATAGAAACATGGATTCATATCACTATTCAACACAAGCAACCTCTACCAAAATTTAAAATCGCTACAATATCTTCGTGTGTGTGTGTGTGTGTGTGTGTGTGTGTGTGTGTGTGTACACATAGCTATTTCTTATTATATAAATAAAATAAAACTAAACTCAAATGAACATGGAAATATCAAGCTTTTAGTGATAATAATCTTTTGGAGATACTTTTTGTAAGTATTTGATACTGAACCTTTATTGGGTATAAAACTGAAGCTAGCAAATAGAGATTTGTACAAGTCCTGATAAGAAACATGCATTTCCTAAAATAGGTAATTCAAACCTTGATCTATCAACACAGCTCCTGTGACCAAATTACTAAAGGCATGTTTTAGTTATAGAAATTTTTTCCTCTGATGAAAAAGAGAATACAGGCACAATCTTTTATTGAGTAGGACTTCTCAATCTAGGTCAGTTGTTATTAATTTACACTGTTCAAGTGGTTAAGGGATAGCAACTCAAATACATGTAACCCGCTAAAAATGTTTATAGCAATAAAAAAAAAAAAGTCAGAAAAAAATCCTTTCAAAAAATTACAGAACCTATATAAATGTCTAGTACATGTCCATTTCATACATGGAGTCCCACCCCAATAGAAAAACAATTTATTTTTCTGTGGCTACACCTTCATTGCACCAGAAAGGTGGGGGACAACTGTGACCTGTGAGTGACACTGGTTCCAAGGACTGGCCAGTTTTTGTCCTTGGATAACACCGGCACCACACATATATAGTTTTTATATAAAATTAACAAATGAGTCCTTCCCTAATTTGAACATCCACCCTTGAGTTAAAACAAACAAGTGACATATTTTTTAGTATGACAGAACAAAGAAAACAAAACACATACAGAAAAAGTCACTGTTCATTGTTATACATAAAGGTATTTACACCTGAGCTATTGTCTTCATCTTTGTTGTTATTATCACTTAGATCAGCAAGCACTTGATGAAGGTCAGAGGGCACAATGGCTGAAACATGATAACAAAGATTAGGACAATAGGGTATATAACCTAAGTAAATGCAGTTGCAGATTTGATGAAAAAATAAAATGAATTGACTACAAAACTGTTCAGCTGTCTAGAGAGATTGTTCTTTTTTTTAAATTTTAAATATAGATAATTGGAAAAAAATATCTTGGCACAAAGATTAGGAGAGTCCTGAAATACATTCACGTGTGTGTGAGTGAGTGAGTGAGTGAGAGAGAGAGAGATTAATGATTTTGCCATTGTGTTTTTCCAAAACAGTAAAGAAACTTCCAACATTCATTCTTGAAGTCAATAACATAAAGTAATAAAAGAAGACAGGCAATCAGTGTTTTTAAAAGAAAGATAAGAAAAATAACAAGAAAATACCAAAGTAAAAAAAAGGCACGATGAAAATGACAGGCTAGAGAAGCTTGTACAAATATAATCGAGCAGTTTTCACTCATTTATTGAATTTTGAAGAGTTCGGCAATTACTAGGTACAACAGCAGGAATTGATTCTAAATTGTTAGATTCCCTGAAAAACAACGTGCTATTAACTCGCAGTCAAGATGCTATTATTGCTGTATCCAGCAATTCCAGAAACTATGCTTTCAACATGGCTACAGGGGGATGGGCTGGAAGGAGCTTTAATGCTAAGCAAAAAGATACATACAAAAGAATGCGTTGTTTATTAGGCTGCTTTAATTTTTATTTTGCAGATTTTTTTTCTCTTCATTGCAAAAACAATTTCCAAAATTAATAAATACTGTTTGGCATCAAAGGGAAGGAGCCAAGCAGAACAGTTCATTTATATACTTGTTCGTAAGCAGAGAGAATGCAATTCTAGAAAAGAGAGACATTACTGCTGCTATTTATTCTAGAGCAGAAGAAATGAAGTGGGTAGAAATAGGCAACTGGACAGAGCAATTGCTTCAACTGGTATTTCAAATCAAGCAGAAGGTCATAAAACTTATTGATTTGGGGAGAAAAAGAAAAAAAAAAAAGAAAGAAGTGATATGAGGAAGAATGGAAGGTTGATATCACCATCGCCTCACTATGGATTGTTGACTAGCCAAGCAAGCAAGCAATTTAAGCAGACAACAAACCCTAAATTTGTTCCTTTCGTTTTTAATTAGGATTAATAGAGAAATGAAAGGAGAGATCGATATGATAAAAATGGGAGCAATATCTTTGCTGCCGTTTTGAATAACATTTTTGTACCAAGTTAGCCACCTGTCCTCAGTTAAGAGGAAGCATTCGCAAAATATAATTTAGCAATATGAAAAACCAAGGATGTTATTGGATACTACTACAAATTAAGTTAAATTTGATGAAAACATATCAACCTAAAATGAGGTAATGTAGCTGAATATTAGACATAAAATATTTGCCAAGTCTATTTTATTTTCAATGATTTATTTTTTTGACAAAAGTATATAATTGCAAAATTATGTATATGTGTGTGTGTATGTGTATAAAAAAAATAAAAAATAAATCAAACTTTACATTAAAGTTAAATATTATACTTCTGAATATTTAAATGTTATATTCTTAACAGACTAGTGGAAATTTGAAATTTGTTGGTGTCTCCAATTAGTATTTCTTATATAGAATATAAATATGATATCTGGCAATAATGCAATAGATTTATCTGACCCTGATTAGTGGTATCTCAATGAAATTCAATAAGTTGATTGAAATTTTATCTTATTAACACACACACACACACACATATATATATCTTTAATGTATGCTATATTTATGGGTTAAAGTATATGTAAATATAAAGCTGAACATTGAAGTCAACACCCAGAGGCAACAGTCTGTTTCATGCCAAAAGACAATATCTCAGCTAATCCATTGTGCAAATCTATATGGTAAGAGAGGAGGTACCTTTATTAGTCATGCAAAACAGAAAATTATTGCCACCATTTTCCTTTCTGTTGATTAGGTATTTTTTTTTTAACTAGAATAAAAAAAAAAAAAAAATAAGACCCTTCCATCTTTCCACGTGAAGTGTATACCAGAAGAACACTGTTGAATATATCAGCCAAAATAGTAACCACAAATTCAAACAATTTTTGAAAGTTTTTTCAGTAACATTTCATGCAAATGCTTTCAAAATAAAGAAAGACATTTTTGTTAAGAAAGTTTTTATAAATTCTTATTTGTCATTACAGGATCAATTCATGCAAAGTCAATAATTTTAAGCATTGCACTGAAATGAGGTTACAATTTCATTTTAAATTAAAGAAATTTTACTCTTCCTTTTTTTTTAAATTACAATATATAAATTAATCACTTTTACTCCTGCAATAAATAAGCAGATGGTTTGTGGCATTGATTTTGTTATTTTGCACTCCAAATCTAAAATGCAAGAAATTTAAATAGTTAAAAAAAAAAAAAAAAAAAAATCAAATCCCAAGAAATAAAAGCAAATCTCAAATCAAATTTAGTCATAAAATAATGTCTATAATAAATATTTTCCAACATATAAAGTTATTCTTGATTAATTTATAACCTGATTGTTTTTGATAAAATTCTTTTAATTGCAGACTTACTGAAATATTATTATAGAAATAGTCTGATTGGATATTTCAAAGTCTAAGTCTTTGAAACACAAAGTTTCTACAGTAAACAGCAGTTGTCGTAGTTAAAGATAGACAAAATCTTATTTTTTTCCATCTTTAACATTTATTTGGTTCTATCTTCCTTCCATAATGGTAAGTGTGGGCAAAAGTAAAATGAATAAAACAAATTTTCACTTAACCAACATCAGCTGACCTAACTTGGCATTTATAAAAATTGAGAATGCTGAAAAAATAGAAATAATCTGTAAATAGTTATGGCTATTTTTATAAAAATATTTTTACATTAAGAAATTAAGTGGAGTGAATATGAAAGATTAACCAAGATTTGAAAGCTATGAGTAAAAAAAAAATCAAATTTGAACAAAGTATATTTATATGAATATGATTAGACAATTATCAGATGAAGTTTTCACTTCAAAAACATTTAATAAAGCTTGGTTTAAAAAAAAAAAAAAAAAAAAAAAAAAGTAGGAAAATAAAAATGAAAATAATTTTTTTTTTTTTTTTTAATTCATAAGTAGTGCTTACTTACCAGAGAATGGTTCATATCAGCCATCATCTTTCGCATATTGTTGAAGATGTCATTGAAACCAAAAAAGTCTTCATTTAATCCAAAGGAGACAAGATCATTTTTACGGTTTGTACGCTCACAGCTTTGGGCTCTCTGCCTGTCCCGGCTACTGACACGAGGGGAGCTGAAACCAAAGTCCATCATACGCATATGACTCTTTGGGAATCTAGAGAAAATAAAAATAGAAAAATAATGGCATTAGCATGAGAAAGCCAAAAATTACAGAGCAACAAGAATCAATGTCAGAAGGTCCTTAAATATAAGAATCCAAATAAAAATGAAGCTAAACTCAATTTTAGTGACATTTAATATACCATGTCTTCTTTCTTTTATGAATATTCAAGTCTTCATTCAAGTCTTTGTAGACTCCACTGGAGAGTATGGGACCACAACTTTCAACAACACTAAAACATTGGTAGTGTTGTTTCCATAACAAGTAAGTTTTTACAGAATGAAGTTGCTAGCTCAACCGGTTTTGAATGAGTTCTTCTCTTAGGTTACCAACCAAGTCTAAAGAGCCTCATCTACCTTAGTATTTAATCCATAGCTAGGAGAAAAGATGGATTCATACCTTTCCCAAGACTATTTGCACTTAAATGAATGAAATCAACTCAACAAGAATTCAAACTCTACTCTCAGATTTCTTATTTGGAGCTGCTTATTCTTAATGGATAAGCGAGTTTGAAATTCCATAGAGGAATAAGCATTCCTCGTTGATTTCATATAAACTTTGCCCAAAGCAGAGAATATATGTTAATATTCATATTATACAGTAGCCATATTCAGTAGATAGTTAAGCCTCTCACGATATTACGAATTTTAATCATCAAAGAAAGTCAGGTGTTCAATTTTAAACTTTAATCAATTCTTTTTTTATACCAGCATGAAGAGTTGAAGAATATCAAATGCACATTTGTTATATTTTAAATGTTTATGAGTTAAATACTTTCAAGAAACTGAATAGCCTCAATATAAACAATTCTGTATTGTTTTTATTCATCCAGTGATATAGTAAGAATAATTAAGTGGTTTTCTCTTAATTCATTAATTAGGCTAAAATTCCAAACAATGCAATAGCGTTATGGTATTTTGTAATTTTGCCTGTATCATAATTTGATGAACTTTTCTTAAAAAAATAATGAAGGGTTTAATTCAGTTTATTTAAAGAAAAAATTGTATATAAGTGTAGTAGTACTATGACTTCTGGAGTCTCCTAGAACTTGTTTTTGTTTATTTGTAAGTTTGTATGTCATGCTATAGCTATAAACTGTTAAATGAATTAAAAAATGCATAAGTATTATCCAATTACATCATTAGCAAATTGAAAAATAAATTTTGTGAAATATTTTGATTTTTTCCTCTTTTTGTGTATTTGGTGAAATCAAATTTTTAGGTTGGGGTAGGGGTGACCTTTTACATGAACTAAAACAAATTAATGCATTTTTCATTAGTTCATTATTTAAGGCACAGGAACATAGGATTACAAAAAGTCATGACCCTAACTATGCATGTTTTGGGTGAAGCAAGTTAAAACCATGAAATGTTTTTGGTGTTGTCAAACTGCACTTAGATTAAACATGAGCATTATGAGCAACAAGTTTTTCTAATTAATTTCTGGTGCTTAGATTTGGGCAGGCAGTATCATGACATGTCACCACAAAGCTATAATGTTCGTATAATAAATTGAAAACTCAAGTTAAATTTGTATAAATTATATAAAACACCAAAGTTACTTTATCACAAATGGAGTTGTAATGATCCAATTTTAGTGTCATTTCAGGCTACGAGACAATAACGAAATATAAAAGACCATTTCTTTAAAATCAAGTATTGTAAACCCAGTTCAACTTCATTATGAATTGACTATGCCTACAAAGTAGCAGCAGTGAAATATTTGCAATGACAGAATCCACATCAGTGAAAGTAGGCAATTTTCCTTAAAGTCTCAAAAGACAGACCACCATCTCCACAACATTAAAGAGCGATCTTACTTCAAATATTAGACATGTAGACTTGATAAAAATTAAAAATAACCTATAGGTTTCATTTATTTATATACACAATATGTTCATAGATACTAGGTGACAAGATTTGATATATTTGCAGCTTATACATCTTTACAGTGAATATCAGAATTAAAAAACAAAAAACAAAAAAAACTAAAATTGAGTAAACTGCACTAAAAAAATAAAAACAAAGAAATATTTTTTCAAAACAATTTACAAATATTAGATGATGGTAAAAATTCCCAGTACTATCTGTATATAATGTTAGCTTAAAACTTTGAAGTTTATTCATCTCCTTATTGCTTATACAACCAGTTAACACTAGTAGATTGTTATTTAGCTTAAGAATTTTGGTTTGGTTTGTTTAATGGCATATCAACTCCTTATGGGTCATTTAATGATGAAATTTAATTTTCTTGTGAGCTTTGGTAGTTTTTCTAATGTATTTTTATATTTTCATGTTTTGACCTTAGTTTAGGTGTTTACTATTTGCCCATAGCTGGGACCCTCACAGGTGCTACCATCTTGGGTCAGGGTGAACCTGGGAACAACAACAATTAAGAGGAGTCTTCACACTCCTCAAAACCTCCCGATCAGAGGCCTTGCTGCCAGATGTAGTCTATTGTCATACCCAGGATAGTATGATAATAAACTATATCCGTGTACTGGGTAAGACAAACTGTCCAACAGCAAGGCCTCTGATCAGGAGGTTTTGAGGAGCATGGAACCACCTCTTAATTGCTGGTGTTCCCAGGTCCACCTTGATCTGGGGTGGTAATACCTGTTAGGGTCCCAGTTATATGCAAATACTTAACACCCCCAAACTGGGGTCAAAATGTGTAAAAATATGTTTTAATACCAGCAATACGTTTTCATAAAAAAATTATTACCAGTGATATATGAAGGAAAATTATTACCAGAAATAGATTTTTGAAAAAAAATATATTACCAACAATAAAAATTTTGTCATCATTAAATAACCCATTGAGGTTGATATACTGTAAAACAAAACAAATGTACCCAGGATAAGCCTTAAGAAAAATTCAGAAGCTCAGAAAATGGAGTCAATATGAACTTATAAAGAGACAAACATCATTCAGCATTTAAACACTTGTTTTTCACTTGTACAACAGGAAAAAGAAAAAAAAATTAAAACCTATTTTTTTTTGTGATCAACTTGAAAAATGAGTCCCTGCATATTAAGTCAAGGCAACCCTTCCTCTGGAATCAAAAGGAATGTTTTTTTAAACACTTCACTCCAAGATTATAATGCCATTAAGACACAAGGGGCTACTGAGAGTGAAAAGAGAAGGAAAATTTTTACAAGGAACTGGAGACCCAATCCTAAACAGAAATCAAGGAATAAATCTTTACTTTTGTTCAAAAGATTGGGGAGAAGTGTGAACCAAACGTAAGGTGAATAGGCAATAGACAGCATTAAAATCCAGCAACACTGGATTGATATTGCCAAATCTCTGGTCAAATTTTTTCATCCACCTTTTGTACTTTTGCACATATTTTGTTCTTGACTGCTCTCTGATGATTGTTTCTTTTTTTGTTATATTTTTCCATTCATCCCATTGAGTAATTTTTTTTCTTATCATTGCTCTTCCTCCCATATTCTTTTAAAATATTTGTTTTTAAAGCCATAAAAAATAAATGTATTACAAGAATTCAACTGGAAGAAAATTGTTACTAGATTCTGAATAGTCTTCAACATTTCATCCTAAATGGAATCTTTGTTGGATTTAAAGGAAATTGTTTGTTATTAATAACTGGAGACCAGACAAATAGTTCTGGTACAGTGTTACAATGAGCAACTGTCTCATTTCAATGACCTATTGGAATAGAAAATTTGACTAATTATTTTCTTGTAGGACCATAACCATTCTCATGTTACAAACACAAGACAACATTCATGGAACATGGATGAAAATTTCCATAAATGACTGGCTTTACTATCAAACTTGTTAGTCCAATTGCTGCATGTATGACTGCAAAAACATCCCCCTCCCCAAATTTATAGACAAATCCAACAGATGCATGCTGGGATTTCTTCCTAACCAATAAAAATGGATCACTTCTCAGTCTCCTCTGCCATATTTTTGTTTTTTCTTGTCTTAAAGTCAGAATGCTACAATTACTTGACTGTATCACTTGTTGTGTGTGAACACCATTCTTACATTGTAAACTTTTGCCTTATTACTATTGAATTGCCTAGTTTTGTCTTGTATATGTACTGTTTGCTTAGTATTATTTTTCCCTGTACTTTTTCCTCCTTTTCTTATTGTAACTTGGAAAATTTATCAATTCCATTTGTTGAGAATTTTTGCCAACTACACTTAACCATGGCCAATTACTCCTCAAAATAAACCTTAAATGCACAGCTGTTCCAACAAATTGAAAACTCCTTTAAAAAGTCACTGAATCAAAAACAGTTACTTTGATGATTGAATAATGATGCTATGCATTTATATGAAAAATATTAGTTAAAAAATTCTGGAAACTTTTGCATCAATCTAGTATTTTCCCCCCAATGCCTTTTCTAAAAAGGCCTATCAATAAACTGAACTAGAAAGGACTGGCCTAAAACTAGTTCTGTCTAAACATGTCAAGTAAAATCATCATCATGCTGCATTCAATTATTCATGAATTTGCCTGCTTAAGCTTGCTTGGACTTGCATGATTAAAAGATTTGCAAGCCATTGTTTATCCATTCTCTGTTTTTAGTTCATGCATATTTAGATCAGTATCATAATCAAATCAACAAGGCTGATAGTCTTCTAGATATTTGCCAGGGAAAGAAAGGCCCTCAAAGCACAAACTGGTTAGCTATTTTTATCTCCATTTCTTAGCAATGATCAGTAAACTCTATAATAAAGTACCATCCAAAACAACAAACACACTTACTCGACTGTTTAACTCTTTAGTAACCGACCTGGCTTCCTGAATAATCACTGTTTCAGTCATCAGCCAGTTCTGTCTTAATTTAATTTTAGGAATAATGCCACTCTGATGTTGCCAAATTATTGTTTAACTTTACACATTTACAGACAATTTATTTTGTCTACCAACAACACTCAAATTTATAGTCTAGGATAATTTTAGATAGAAGCACAAGCAGGTTAACAAAGACAACTGAAAGGTGCAAAGATGTACC